TGTTCCTCGGTGTGTACATTTCTGCAGAAACACATCAACCCGACCACTCTTCAGAATAACGACCAGTCCCTAAACTGTCCTTAGCCCTAATCCCTCTCGCACAGAAAAAAAAAAGAGAAAAAGAATATGAAAGAAACAAAACAGGTAATGCAACGATTCGGTTCTGTGTAGTGTTGTATATAACACACTCGGCTAATTGGACCTTCATCGACTGACATTCAGTAAAAAAATCCATCTTTTCTAAAAATATTTTATCGACCCCAAAAAAAATTCCAAAAATAATTAAAAATCTCCAAGAACAATTCTTAAAGCTAATTCAATCCAGACTTGCTCAGTCATTCGAGAGTCAAGTTGGGGAAATAAGTTCTGCAGGGTCTGGGAACGGAATAGGACCTGACGACCGGCTGTCATATTTAGGAAGTGGACAGTATCGATACACTCTGCCTGGCACCAACACGGGTAATTCCTCGTCAGCCGCTGTGTGGACAAATACGGTAATTGTCTGTGTGTATAGGCAGGTGCCCTCTTCGTAACACGATTGTGAGACGTGCATACACTAGGCGAAAAGACACACTTTCATTGGTGTTAGACTATCATTGTTTTGTATTTGTAAATATGAAAATAAAGGCTTTATTGGGTCTTTGAATGAATCATACTTTTTGAATGGAATGTGGTCGACACTGGTTGTATGCAGGTTTTTTCTAACACATTTTTTAACTTTTCGTTTAAACTTCTAGAGGCTTTATCAATTGAATGTTTCATTGGAGTTAAACTTTCAACGTTTGTATTGTCAAGTTGACAACAGAGGTGTTATTAGGGATCTCATTGGATTTTACTTTTTAATGGAATGAATCCAATTTCAAATGTTCTTGTAACAGGTGTTTTTCATACATGTAAGACTATCACCTCACTGCTGTTAGTGGCTCCGAATGAATAATGCATGCTTTGTTAATATGCACTGATTTCTGTAAAATGACAAATTTCGTTTTAAACTTCAAGAGTTTTCTGTTTTTCAGTTACAACACAGGTGTTCAATGTTATTCTGTAGTATCATCAGTTTCAGGTGAAACATTGCCGGTCTTTGCGTGTGTTTGTGACATTTGGGGAAGAGTACGTTCACCTGTTCGGGAACACTTGGTATCATCACAATTCGATAGTGATTCCTAAACACATGCTAATGAAAAGGCAAGACTCGTGCAATCGACTCTACTTTCAGCAGAGATTTCCTATAAATATAAAAATGGTTTTGGCGCTTTTATTGCCAATTTTAGAAGGCATGGTTTATAGTGGTTGATTACTGATCTTAATTTTGATGGAATGCATTGGATCATTCTAATCACATGAAATTATAATTTTCTGAATGGCGTTGAGATTTGGTCATTTTAAGTGTAAGCGCTACAAATCTAATCGTATTAGTAACATAAACAGCTCTTAATATCACGAGATGGTTTGTGAAATCCATAGTACATCTCATATATGAGATACCAATGTGTTAGGATTGCACATCATTGCATCATTATCGAAAAAGAAGCACAAACTATGGATAAAACATCGATTGATTTTCGGATACAAATACAAAAATAAAAATAGCATAAGCCCTTCCACGCTAAGGTGGTGATGTTATGTTGGACAAAAAAGACACACGACATGATCTCGGTATATCAAGATAAACCGTTTGTGTTTCCGATGTAAGAAACAAACGCCCACGTATATTTCCAAAAGGTGTTTAGATGGTGATTGTCCCAACATTGACCAGAATGTCGCACCTACCTGTCAAACATACTCTCCCCCAGCACGGGAATGCGGAAGAGCACCAACAGTCGAGCAGGAGATAGAGGAGGGCTTATTCACGGGTGCCAAAATTGACCAAGATTTGGGGCCGTCTTACTTGACAAATTTACACCAGGTTCTTCAGCGTTAAAATAGATAGTGATTTCCGTTGCCCGCCATTCAAAAGGCATTAAAGGGGAGAAAAAGCGAAGCTTTGTGAGTAAGATGATCCCCTCCTTCAAGTTTGAATAAATCCGCCTGACGGGCAAAACGCCATGCCTTTCGGTCTTACGCAAACAGATGAAACAACAACACAATGTTTGGTTCAATCGCGACAGGTATTCCAGCTCCTGCTGTAGCAAGGAGCTGCCACTATGGGGGGATTTGTGGTAATGTTGAGGATATCGAGTTGCATTTTATAAGATTACTTTAAAAAAACTATACTACGTACATTTGTTTTGACAGATTCCTGTCCTGTGTTGGTTGAAGCCTTGTACGTTGTATGTTACGTATTGTTACTTTACTTTGGGTTAACGAGTTCAATGGTCAGTGCAAACTGATGCATATTTTGTGAATAAGAAACAGTTTGAGTGAGTTCACAGCTAAGTGGATTCTATGGACTACACCAGTGTATGAAATAAGGCCCGTCCGACCGCCCGAGACGGGCTAGATTTCTGACGGACGGTCTAGATTTACAACTAGCCAGCCCGATGGTCTGGTAAAACTTTTAGATGTTCCATACGTATCTTGGTGTCTGGTCTGGTTAAATCCATTTGGTGCTGGTAACATTTTGAAGTTACCAGCCCTGATGTCTTTTGGCTTTTGGCTTATTTCATAAACTGACTACACTGAATGATCTTGATTGCTACTCTCTAGACACACATGACAACATCATCTCCGTGTACTACATGTTTTGTATTGGGTCATTCCTCAAGATCGATGCATGCTAAAATGACAATAAGGTTATCAAGGAAATCCAAGATCAATGGATAGTCAACTTCTTTATTGCAATGACTGCGGCGTGACGGTGAAGATACTAACAGAGTTATCCAGTCAAGTGATGACAAGTCTCGCTGACGGTGTTAGTACCTAAACCGGCACTCCGCATCCATTGCGACAAAGAAGTTGCCTATCCATAGAACCTGGTTTTCCTTCGTCTCTACAACTTCTAAAATGCCTCTCAAAGAAATAAGGTTATCAATTAGGTGAAAGAAATGATAATGATTATCTGAAGAAAGATTAAGAAGTCACAGTCATATGGAAAAAAACAATAATAGAAGAATACAATAATGCGACTGAGTATGATAGAAGCTATAGCTGTGCACATTTCCGTCCAATTAAGTCAATTACACGTTGATTTTTAGTAAACTTCCGATGCTTGTATATTCACATAAATGACTGATTATCCAACACTGGCACAATGACTGAAAATCAGTGATGACTTAGTGTATTGTATGAGAGTAAGAGTAACTGTCACACAATTCACTATAAACTAAAAATGATGCCACTTTCGTTGAAAGTAGAACGAAGAAAGGAATGGAGGCAAAACAACATGGCAGCTACAACCTCACTGGGAGATGAATGTTATGTTAATATGATCCTTGTCATTGTTATACATAAAATGCGTAACTGTTTCTGGTTTCTATTCACGTTTGTGTAAAAGAATATATCCGTCTGATGAGGATGTAGTTTTAAGGACGAATATTTCATAACTATTTTCCTCCGCACCATTCCTAAACAATCTTTCTTTTAACATCACGTCTATATTAACACGAAACTGAATTCACGTTCAAACGTTTGATGAAGTGTCAAAGAGGTCTAATATCAACAAATAGGGAAGGGAAAATGAAACAGAAAGAAAACATAGAACAGTTCTTCAATTCTAACATAACATATTGCACCGAACGTTTCCTTTTAAACATGAAACAAATAAAACAATATTAACAAATGGCTAAACGTTAAAACAGCATCACCACCTTTCAACAACGTGCCTCTAATCATCAAATTTCATAGAAGTCTGGTCGGCTGTTAAAAACCTTTTTTATCAATCATCCGTGAATTTTCTAGTTAAATATTGCCCACGTGGAGAATCAGCATATATAATTCCAAATTTGACTTTGATCATCGAAATATTTAGTTCGTTGTCTGATGTCGCCAATTTTGGTTGACAATACCATTCCTTTAATTTCACTCCGTAATAAATGATAAAAGACCCATGCATAGTGAATGTTTCTCTATTGTCTTGTATTTGATAAAAGAGGTGGCCCTGTTTGCTAACACTGCTTGAAACCTGGTAGGGTATTTGACACTTGTTTGCACACACATTTGATCGATCCGGCTTCACATAACAATGGAGGATTCAGCCCGACGGAGACTGGACTTAAGCATTGGGCCTTTGCAATGTGGGAATGTTATTTTGCATTCAGCTGGACGTTGGGTATCTTGCTCGTAGGATTGGCGAGACATCGAGACTTCGTTGCCATGTATTTGAAGTCACTGACGGATTTGGAAAAAAAGTTGATTTTTCGTCAGAAGCTAATAGAATAATCTTCCACGGAAAGAGTCATGATGGTTTTATGGCTTTTGTCTGTTCTTTCAGGAGAAGTGGCAAAACTTAACACTTCTAAAAGTAGAGTTTGTGTGGGAATACTTTGAATATTATACACAATTGTGACACGAGGGTTGAGTGCAGTTTGTATTCAAAACAAGAACAGGATAACCTGACCCTCTCGACATTAAAATGAAAATAGATCGTGTATGTGACATGTCTGTCCTACTTTCATATATGCGCAGACATTTACGTCAGAGCACAAATATATCCCCTCACGATACACCAAACATTTCATTATTACGCCATAATTAAAACATTAATAATAATCATCAATGAAGTATTTCCATTAGAATCATTCTAAACCTCAGCCTGTAATGTGCGTTTGTTTGTATATCATTGTAATCACACAATTCTAAATAATAAAAGTATAATTGTTAAACATTTAATGAAGTGAGTGAGTGAGTGAGTTTGGTTTTACGCCGCTTTTAGCAATATTCCAGCAATATCACGGCGGGGGACACCAGAAATGGGCTTAACACATTGTACCCATGTGGGGAATCGAACCCGGGTCTTTGGCGTGACGAGCGAACGCCTTAACCACTAGGCTACCCCACCGCCCCTTTTAATGAAGTGAAGGTTACAGGGGGGCACAACCAGTGAAATATGCAAAATGGCGTACCTTGTGTGACTCGCCAGGGAGAAACTTAGCACAGTGTTATAGTCGTAATCCACTGCCTGAAATAAATAATACAATTGGTAGTAAACACTCAGAGATTTACATATCAGTTCGATATAAGAATGACGATATGTCCTTGGTTTGGAATATGGATAGGCTGTGAGGTTATACAACATCGACAAATTAAGTTACACTAACGGTTATGTATCTATAACAAACAGACACACACACACACACACACACACACACACACACACACACACACACGCACGCACGCACGCACGCACGCACACACACACTGCATGCAGGACACACTGAACACTGACATACACAAAGTACACACTTACACACTATCACATACAATACACTAACACACAAACTACACACACACACTATAGACACGCGCGCACACACAGAGACAGACAGAAATATATTTAAAAGATGAGTCCAGATATTTGTACACCTGAAGAGCCTTTGAAAGGCCAAAGACTTTGTGCAGATAAAGTAGTTTTGGCAAAAGGAACTACCTGGATTCATTTTTTATGAATTATTGCTTATACACCTGCGGAAATCACTTGCAGGTGGTCACTTGCAGGTGGTCACTTGCAGGTGTATATATAAACTTTTTCGGAAATGGACATTGCAGTTCCTATAAGTTTGTTATCACTATTCATATACGAAGTTCATTTTTAGTGTTGCAGTGTAAAGTGCACTGTCGCTATGCAAGATGCACCGTTATTATGAAGTTTCAAAGAACCATGGAACTATCAAGAAGTAACAAACAGTAGCTTTAATAAATTTAAATGGAGCAATGCTATCAAATTAGTTCGTTCCTGCAATATATGCTATTTTCAACATACATACCTCGACTGTCGTTATTAATTCATCCGTGACTCTTTCTCTCTCAACTGTGATCTCTTTCTGTGTGAAGACAGGGTTGTTGTCGTTAACGTCAGACACCGACACCGTCACTGTCGTTGTTGTGTTCTGTAACAGCAGGACAACATACAACAACGTGCTGATACTGTCATCGCCTACCCTCACACATACCAATTAACCGTATAGTTGTATAAACATTACGACGGATAAATGAAAATAAAATGTCTCAAGAAATGAGATTCATTGTGCCACAGAGGAGTCTGAAGAACCTTTTGGTTTTTTTATTTATTGGTTCCCAAGATTACAATGTCATCTGTACAAAAGTGATGTACAGACAGATATATGATGTACAGGTATTATGCCAATGTCATGTTAATACACATATATAAGTCAATAAAAGAGAAATATGATATCAGATAAATATGGATACATTTTAAAGTCATCAAAATACTGGGAAGAGAAGGCCCCATTTATGATTCAAATGTTCTATATTATTATTTTTTTTGCATATATGGTTTTCCACAAAGAATATTTCTTTCAAAGTTTTTATAAATAGAGTTATGTTTGGATGCGTATTTTTAATACTGCATACGTAGATGTGTCTTTTTGCTGCAATGATGATGTGATTTAGTAATATATTATGATGTAGAGTACCAAACCATACCATATGTTTTGATAATAGCAATGGATGAGGTTATATATTGTTATGCCAAATTTGTAGGTTTTTCCAAAACGTTTGTGTCTCCTGACATTCCCAGTACACATGACAAACAATCTCATTTTGATCATTGCAGAAACAACATAGACTGAGATTCATTGTGCCACCGAGGAGTCTGAAGAACTTGGTTGCATGCATTGTACCACGGGGGAACAATAATACGACTTTATGGACAGCGTTGTTTATTGCATAGAGCGACGTTTCGGTGTCGGTTCTTAAAACGGTTTTCAAGCTTTTCACTTTGAGCGTGAAACGGTGTAATAACCTACAACCCTACAGACGAAACGTCGCTCTATGCAAGAAACATGACGATGGTTTCCATAAAGTCCCATGCTTCATTACTGATTCACCAATTTCTAGAATGCCCATCAAACAATAACGATAGATCGGTTGCCTCACATGTATGGTCATTTCGAAATAATGTTAAACTACTTTAGTTTTGTGTCTTGGAAACTCAAGCAAGAAAGAGATGATCTAATCTTGGGAGTATACATAGCACGCTATGAAGCCAAAATACGTATGTTTGTTTGGTGGCTGAATTGGACCAAAGATGAAATGATTCGACTGTGATATATTTGATACAGGTATTATAACTGAATGTGTTGGACATTTACGTTTGTAGTGTTGTCGGTGACTGGTTTCAGTCTGCAGACGTTCTGATAAAGTTTGTAAGTTTTCCGTGAAATCCAATTTTCAAGAATATGATTTGTGTTAACCGTGTTCTATGTCCATGGCTGGATCAAGCAACACGGTTATTCGACAGGTGTTTTGCAAATATCGCAGCGTGTACAGTGCTCAACGATGCTATCACCCAACAAGGCCGAGCCAATGTTGCAAGACTACAAGCGTATATCGATTTCTCCAAGAAAGAAGATACTTACAAACTGTCCATCAGTGACCACCACGAGGATAGAATACCCAGTTTCTCGTTCGTAGTCCAAGGCTTGTCTCAGCTGCATAACACCGCTGCAATATATACATCAGTGATAAGACAACAATGTTTCTCTGTGTAACATGACACTGTACTACAGACAAATTGTGATTTTATCCTGGTCTGTGGAGTGATGGTGAAAAGCTTCATCCATTAAAAAAGAGTAACGGTAAGCTTTGGATGATTTCGAAGCAAAGCTCGTAGAAGTAGATTTGGCATATATACCACTAGGGTGTGTGTGTGTGTGTGTGTTGGGGGGGGGGGGGGGATGCAATTTGAGCAGGATCTGTTCTGTTGACATTCAGGACATAAGATTGGTACCTGCAGACGTCCAAGCACTGCCGTGTCCAGATTAGCGGTTCTTGGAACGTGTTCCTATCTTTCAAAACAGTGTATTTGTCGCCTCAAAATATAACCTTGTAAGTGTATTCTTTGGATTTAGTCCTGGGCCTCCTTTCACAAAGCACTAAGGTGATCGTAAGTCACTAAGGTAACCTTAGTGCAGTGTTAAAGAATGGGAGTTTAGGTTAACCTTAGTAAAGGTTGCTTCGTGAAAGGCCCCCAGCTTTGTACTCAGGGCATTCACATATTCAACAGGTGGTGTCGCAAGGTAAGTGAATTTGGCTCTGTTTCCCAAGCAGCAAATGGGTACCCAGTAAGATGGGATTTAAATGACTATAACATAAATTGCTTGTAGGTGCTTGTATAAACAATATCTTGTACTAAGAGACACAAATGCAATTATTCAGGTTTAATAGTTAAAATGATACGTTTATAGATGTTCTATATCTCCTCACCTGTCTCCGTTGATTGTGAACACGTTTTCCTCCTTGGCAAAGTAATACCGTAGTCTAGAGCCCTGAAGGACAAGAAAACAATAACGCCTTATAAAGATGAGAGAGTGAGTCTTACGAGTAAGTCCAAAATTAATTTAAAAAAAACCCCAAAAGAAAACAAAAGAAAAAAAGCAAATAAAGAGAAAAATATAAGTAAGCGACAGTGACTGATAGATTGGGATTACGTACAAAGTCCGAGTCTGTGGCAGTGACGGTCACAATGGTGGAACCCAGGGGCAGACTCTCGGGTACGTTGGCTGTGTAGGCTTGCTGTTGGAACACAGGGGGCTTGCTGTTGATAGCGGATACAACTATTTTCATGAAGGTTGTATCCGTCCTGAACGAGTTGTCAACTTGAGTCGCCTGAAACAAACAAATAGGTCTCGTTATTATAACAGAAGCATCTTTTCCACTGTTAAAACACACGAGGTCCACTGAACTTTCAGTTACCGATGATGTACAGTTGACGCCCCAAGGGAAAATCTTTCTAGTCTGTCTGAGTCTCTGAACCACATTATTTCCTCTGCCGTCCATACCTTTCTGCAATGCAAAGCCCTAAGCGAAGCAATTTTCCTCTGGTTCAGAGTCTTTCACAGCTCAGTGGTGCTCCTTTTCAACACCTCTGCAGAGCTTTCAGGGGTAAGTGTTGTAATACTTAGCAACCCACTCCATCAAAGTTCGGCCCATAACGTTTCAGTAACTTATCATGTAAAGAAGTCTCCGTATTATAATTTTGGATAATTGTTGTAGATTATCCCTGTTTTAACATACGTTGTCCTTGTAAATCGGTCTTCGTTGCATCCATATAAACAAATTCCAGTGAAGCATTAGTCTACCTGGTTAAAATAACTTTAAACGACTCATACGTTGAGTGAGTATAGTCTTACGCCGGTTTTTTGTGGTGTTCCAGTAATATCACACGTGGTAGGGCTCAAGAAATTAGCTCCTCATTTTGAAAACTTGTAGGGAATCGAACTCGGACATTCGCATGAACAGCGAGCACGTAAACCACTATACTATCCGGTTTAACTGACTGATGTGTGTATGTATTGTAAAGACCTACCTCGATCATGATGGAGAACTCCTGGGCAGGGGGCGGGTTGTTGACGGACAGCACTGCTGTGTTAGGGTCAATCTTGAAGTAGTCGTTGGTGGCTGGAATGGGATATGAATACACAATGTCAATTAGAAAGTGGTCAGTTGTACACATGTTAGGCTTGGGATTACACTTTCGCGTGCGTGCATGCGTGCGTGCGTGCGTGCGTGTGTGTGTGTGTGTGTATGTATGTGTATATGTATGTATGTGTGTGGGTGGGTGTGCGTGCGTGCGTGCGTGTGTATGTATATATGTGTGTGTGCGCGCGTGTGTATGTATGTATGTATGTATGTATGTATGTATGTATGTATGTATGTATGTATGTATGTATGTATGTATGTATGTATGTATGTATGTATGTATGTATGTATGTATGTATGTATGTATGTGTGTATGTATGTTTGCCTGTATTAATATTGTCAAAGAATGGTGTCGAAGTTACGTAAGTACTTCGAGTTATCCGAGGTCGACATAGACACAGAATAGTGACTACAACTAATATCCAGGGACTTTACTTCGAGACAACCGCTAGTTCCACACATAGAAGATCGACCAAACATAACATTAATAACGGTGATGGAATGTGACACAGTTTGCACACATTATTAAAAACACTACATTGCAAAACACCTGCTTGTTACACAAATACTAGTTATGCAATGGTCTTTGAAGCGTAACCCGTGAAGGTCCGGATTAAAATTGAACTTCAGTAACCCATATTTGTCATAAGAGGCGAGTCACGGGATCGTGTGGACAGGCTCGCTGACTTGGTTGACACATGTCATAGTATCCCATTTGCGTGGATCGATGCGCATACTGTTGATCACAGGATTGTCTGGTACACGCTTGATTATTTGCAGACGACCGCCACATAGCTGGAATATTGTTGAGTGCGGCGTTAAACAACAAACCAACCAACTTTGAAGCACACTCTTCTTTAAATCACAAGCGACAGTGACAATCTCACCTTTCTTGATTGAATACCGGAGGGGGGCGTTGATTGTAACGTCTTGGTCTCGGGCTGAGATTGGCTTAGTAACATTCACTATTGTACCCTTGAAAACAAATGACAACCCGCCATTATAATACAAGTAATATCAAAACCATGATTATATTCATGTATTTGTATGTGTCATTATGTAACGAATGTTATGATGGAAGACTTTATTTTTCATGAAAAAAAAAAATTAATAATTTTTTTTTAAGATTAAAACCAGATTAGTGAACATATCCGGGTGATAAAATAGGCCCCAAGTAACAGGTGCTTGTTAGAGAATCGGAGGGTCAAGCACAGTGACTTTGTTGATTGCATGTACTCATGTCGTGAATCGGTACTCATGATGTCAGTCACCGGATTATCTGCTTGTGACGTACACGTAATGGCAAGTGTCAGTCCTACTGGGTATTCAATTTCTTATATCCAACGTATTCAAAATCCTGAGGGGCGGTGGGGTAGCCTATTGGTTAAAGCGTTCGCTCGTCGCGCTAAAACATCAGGTTCGATTCCCCACATGGGTACAATGTGTGAAGCCCATTTCTGGTGTCCTCCGCCGTGATATTGCTGGAACATTACTAAAGGCGGCGTAAAACTAAATTCACTCACTCAAAACCCTGTACTCAGTAAGACAATGCACCATGTGTTCACGAAACTAGCGACACCGGGTGTTCACGAAACTAGAGAGGATGCCCTTCCTGAGGCTAACCCCTTGACAATTGAACTGAGTGCTTGTAGCCACACATATATGGCAATTAAAGAAATTTATACTAAAACATCCGACATATTTCAGTTTAGACCTCGTACCTTTGGTGACAGTTCCGGGACAGTTCCTACATATGAAGGTTCGTCAAAAGCAGGTGGGAGATCATCCATGTCGATAACGCTGATGTGTAGCGTTGCTGTTGCCGTCATCTGGGTCGCCCCACCTGTGGGCTGGTCCTATTATAAAACACAAAATGAAAATGTGTTACGCACTATTAAGGAATAGTGAGTGAGTTTAGTTTTATCAATATTCCAGCTATATGGCAGCGGTCTGTAAATAATTGGGCCTGGACCAGACAATCCAGTGATCAGCAGCATGAGCATCGATTTACACAATTGGGATACGATGACATGTGCCAACCAGGGCAGCGAGCCTGACCACCCGATCCCGTTAGTCGCCTCTTACGACAAGCATTGGTAACTGACGATCAATTCTAACACGGATCTTCGTGGGTCCTTTAAAGGAATAGGTTAAGGGGATGTTATATTTATTTAGAAATAGGGTTTTCATGTGTGACACTCATAACATATTAGCACCGACAATGCTTTACTCACCATTGCTGTTACTTGTATCGTCATGTTGGGGGTTGTTTCATAATCCAACGGGCTGATGAGTGTAAGGGAAGTCCGAAGTGGATTTTTAATTTCGAAGTATGACTGTGAAGAGAATGCAAACAACATGTTAAGAAATTTACTTTTTTACATGAGTGAATTAACGAAATTAGTGACAACCAAAGAAATATCATCGCTTTTTTTCAAAACCATTGTAAGAATAGAAACCCTAGCTTTTGTTTATGAAGACTTAAGTTTGGATCACCAGTCTACCACAAACAGAAAAAAACCGTATTGTCTCCAGTAGGTGTTGGCGGCATGCGATGATCATAATGCCTTTATATAGATGTCGTAAAATAGGATGTCTTTAGTTTTCACGAACACCTGATTTCATTACTGATTTTCAGTGATCCTAGCATATACAGTTTTGTTTATAATATTTATGTTGGAACTTGACTGAACTTGACTGAACTGAAATTAAGTATGATTTAATGAAGTAGTGAATGAGTTTAGTTTTACACCGCTTTTAGCAATATTCCAGCAATATCACGGTAGGGGACACCAGAAATGTGGGGAATCGAACCTGGGTCTTCGGCGTGACGAGCGAACACTTTAACCCCAAGGCTACCCTACTGCCGCTTAAATAAATACATTTCGGCAGGCAATGGAGATTGACTTTAAACTTTTATCGCAGTTTATGTTGGAAACTAGATTAAACGTAAAATGAAAAATTAATTGTGATTTACCTTTTACGGCCAACGAAATATGTTTTGAGACTGATTATTTGTGAAAGATGTTTCGAGACTATTTTCAGTTGTTTGCATTATACAACATTACAGAAAGCACGGAGAATGTTTGCTGTATACAGACCGAGTACATCTCTGGGATGCTGTAGTAGATACGCCCGTTGGAATTTTTATCAGCATCCCTGTCAGTGGCAGAAGCTGGCGTTGGAATAACGGTTCCATTTGGCTCGATCTGGAACAGTAAGTACAATCATCAGTCTACAGAAGTAAGATGGGAATTATTGTCTTGTTTGTATTCTTTTTCATTTCCTGTCAGTGACTACTAATTGCAATGTGAAATGCATTATATGTAGTTACACATATGATTATGTTGATAATGAATGTATGACTTGTTCGAGAACTAGCGTAATAACCTGATCAAACTCCAATCCTTCAGATGATAAATACAAGCCAAATTGTTTACGAAACTCCAAGAAATTATCAATATAAAAGACAAAGGTAGCAATCCTTGACATGATAAACAGAAACCAAACTGTTTACGAAACTTCAAGAATTTATTAATGAGAAAGACAAAAGGTAGCAATCCTTGAGATGATAAACAGAAACCAAACTGCTTACGAAACTCCAAGAAATTATCAATATAAAAGACAAAAGGTAGCAATCCTTGAGATGATAAACAGAAACCAAACTGTATACGAAACTCCAAGAAATTATCAATATAAAAGACAAAGGTAGCAATCCTTGACATGATAAACAGAAACCAAACTGTTTACGAAACTAAGAAATTATCAATATAAAAGACAAAAGGTAGCAATCCTTGAGATGATAAACAGAAACCAAACTGTTTACGAAACTCCAAGAAATTATCAATATAAAAGACAAAAGGTAGCAATCCTTGAGATGATAAACAGAAACCAAACTGTTTACGAAACTCCAAGAAATTATCAATATAAAAGACAAAAGGTAGCAATCCTTGAGATGATAAACAGAAACCAAACTGTTTACGAAACTCCAAGAAATTATCAATATAAAAGAAAAAAGGTAGCAATCCTTGAGATGATGAACAGAAACCAAACTGTTTACGAAACTCCAAGAAATTATCAATATAAAAGACAAAAGGTAGCAATCCTTGAGATGATAAACAGAAACCAAACTGTTTACGAAACTCCAAGAAATTATCAATATAAAAGACAAAAGGTAGCAATCATTGAGATGATAAACAGAAACCAAACTGTTTTCGAAACTCCAAGAAATTATCAATATAAAAGACAAAAGGTAGCAATCCTTGAGATGATGAAAAGAAACGAAATTGTCTACGCAACTCCAAGGAAATATAAACAGGAAAGATAAAAAGGTAGCAGCAATCCTTGAGATGATAAACAGAAGCCAAATTGTTTACGAAACTCAAAGAATTTTTTTAAAAAGAAAGACAAAGGGTAGCAATCCTTCAGATGATAAACAGAGGCAAAACTCCAAGACATCATCAGTAAGGAAGTGTGTGTATGTGGGTGCGCGTGTGCGGATAAGTTAGTTTCTATTGTATTGGAATTACCATACCTCGCTGACGTTTATGTAGTAATTGTCCTTGTCAAACACTGGAGGGTGGTCGTTGAAGTCTTTGATCAGCATGGTTATTGCGATGGTAAGCTGGAATAGGATTGTATAGTTCCTTTACAGTGGTATACTCACATTGTGGTATACTTACATTCAGGCATAGTGCCTATAGCGCTGTATACTTACATATAGTCACAGTGTGGTATACTTACATTGTGGTATAGTCACAGTGTGGTATACTTACATTGTGATATAGTCACAGTGTGGTATACTTACATAGTGGTATAGTCACAGTGTGGTATACCTACATTGAGGTATAGTCACAGTGTGGTATACTTACATTGTGGTATAGTCACAGCGTGATATACTTCCATTGAGGTATAGTCACAGTGTTGTATAATTACATTGTGGTATAGTCACAGCGTGGTATACTTACATTGTGGTATAGTCAGTGTGGTATACTTACATAGTGGTATAGTCACAGTGTGGTATACTTACATTGAGGTATAGTCACAGCGTGGTATACTGACATTGAGGTATAGTCAGTGTGGTATACTTACATTGTGGTATAGTCACAGCGTGGTATACTGACATTGTTGTATAGTCACAGCATGGTATACTTACATTGAGGTATAGTCACAGCGTGGTATACATACATTGAGGTATAGTCACAGCGTGGTATACCTACATTGTGGTATAGTCACAGTGTGGTATACTTACATTGTGGTATACCACACCAAGCTTGAACATATTTTAACAATATTATAGAGAAAAAAAACCCCTCTAATCTCTACACCCAACAGAATCTGTTTCGGCAGACAGATTATTATCTTGCCTCGACGGTTATGATTTAAAGCTTTGTGCACGGTTCAAAACCCAAATAATAAACTGAGAACCAAAAGAAACTAAACCTCTCAGTTGATTGTATCATGAATTTAAGCTTGTTGTAGTTGAAAATTCATTTCTTACCCCATTGAACCAGTTTATTTTACCCATCAACCATCAGTTATTTTACACAAAATTCCGCAGCCACGTACTTTTAACAAACTGTTGCTTGAATTTGATAAGGCTAAATCAATTTTATCAGCGGTTTTTATACTATTTTCACTATTCCATTAAAATGTAAACACGGTATACCTTTTTAACCCCTTCGTATATACCTTTTCAAAAGCAGTTGTGATCTGTTTCAATCACTTAAGTACAATGACTCAGTACTCAGTCTGGTAGCAGTTTTGTAGGTAGTTCTTACCTTCGGTTGTGGAGACGTAGCCAACTGACACTTCAGTTCCAACCTCTCAGTTTCTTCACCAGTGTCAGCATCCAGTTTCTTAATGAGGAATATCTCCTGACTTGTGTCATTGTAGTCGAAGTAGGTGTTAGCAACCCCCGTCACCAGGACCTCATCAGTGCTGGCGTTGTACTGCATCTTCTTTACCACAGAACCTGTACCAATAACAACAAGTTCTGATTGAACCAGACAATCGAGTGATTGATATACTGAACACTGATCTACGTAGTTGGGATACAATGACACGTGTTGTACTCAGCCTGCTTTTAGCAACATTCAGTCAATATGAGAGCAGGACACGCATTAATTGTATTCATGAGCTTTGTTTGTGTTAGTTGTTTTACGCCGCACTATTATTCCGGCTATATGGCGGTGGTCTGTAAATAATCGAGTCTAGACCAGACAATCCATTGATCAACAAAATGAGCATCGATCTACTCAACTGGGATACGATGACATTTGTCAACCAAGTCAGTGAGCCTGACCACCCGATCCACTTAATCGCCTCTTACTACAAACATGGGTTTCTGCAGATCAATTCTAACGCGGATCTTCAGAGCATTTAATTTATCGGTAGAGATATAACATAGGCGCGGGATGGGCACAATCCATTTGTCGGTACAAATTTAATATGAATACGGGATGGGCATTTTCTGTTTATCGGTATAGATATAATACAGACACATAAATATAAAATACGTTTGCATATGAAAATGCCTGTTGTTACGTCACTGTAAATGTATAAAATAAATTACGGTACATACCAACAGTTGCACTCTCTTGGACATCCACAAATATCTCAGATTGTCCACTAGGCATGGCTACACACGCCTCTGTAAGAATAAACAAATGTCATTTATTATTAGCCATACGGTAGATATCTCAGCTGAAGGAAGCAATTTCTGAATATTGATGCAATATTAACATAAAAAGTGAACGCAAACTCTGTCGTTCTGGAACAAAGTCAAGGTGCCTATCTGCAGGCCAATTAGTCTTGTATGCTTATTGTGGGTTCGAATCCCGGTTCCACACTATTTGCTCACGTGGTTGTTGGTTGGTTTGTTGTTTTACGCCGCACTCAGCAATATTCCAGCTGTATGGCGGCGGTCTGTAAATATGCGAGTCTGAACCAGACAATCCAGTGATCAACATCATGAGCATCGATCTACGCAATATTTGGGATTCACTGACATATATCAACCAAGTCAGCGAACCTCACCTCCCGATCCCGTTAGTCGCCTCTTACGACAAGCATAGGTTGGTAAAGACCCATTCTACCCCAGGTCTTTCCCTGCTGTATGTTAAACCTTACTAAACTGACGGGAAGCAACTGAAATATTCATTCACTGTTCTGAAACCGTGACGTCGAGCAGTAGCATCACTGAATAGCTTCACACTAGAATGTTCTATACACGTACCATATACAGTCAAACCGGAGGCGACTGACAACGCCAACAGCATCCACAACATCACCGTGATTGACACGTCCATCGCCATCCCCTGGAATACAACAATATTCGTTAAAGGTGGATTCGTAACCGACATTGTGACAGTGGCAGCCTGATTGAGATTGGTCACCCAGACAAGATTGCGATAATCAGGTTCCATCTCTCTCCAGTCACTGATCACAAACGTCCGGGGGATACGAGGCTGGTACAGTGCTGGAATAAGCCTCATGTGCCAGATGTTGATAATAGAAAAGTTCGGAGGTTCTCTTTTCAGAAAACATATCATATAATACTCAGCAGAAATGTACCAAAAACACGCATCAGCATTGTTAACTATTTATTTGACGTTAAGACCTTGAGCCTGCATGAGAAGCTCCCTAAAAATCCGTGATAAAAACAGATATTTTGTTTGGTCATTCAAATGTACCACCAAATACAAATCTGAAAGACTAATTATATAACAATGATATTTAATGGAATTACAGTGGGACTTGCTTTACATTCACAAACAAAACATACAATGTGGATTCTAAACAACTCTAAAAACGGATTTTCTTGGATGATGAAGATTTAGTTCATTCTGTCAAAACGTTTTTCAACTGTGTACACCACTTGGAAGTGGTATATCAGTTACTAATATGATGTCCGTTGCACTTCCTTAGTTTTTTTAACTACAACATATGTTCATACGATGACATGTGTCAACCCAGTCAGAGAGCCTGACCACCCGATCCCGTTAGTCGCCTCTTACGACATGCATGTGTTACTGAAGATCAGTTCTAACCCAGATCTTCTCGGGTCAAATAAAGAGGGCCACACCAATGAATTTCCACGTTAATACATGTGACTTTGTGGTAGTACATTACATCGTGACCTCCAGTAAAAGTATGAGTTATATCAGCAATACATATTCCTGTCCTCGTTGATATGGCCAAAGAAATCTTTCTATGACAAGCTATTCAAAATGGTGTTATTGTATACTTAAGTCTATAAATAGTCCGTGAATTATTTCAAACTATCGCAACAAGCGTGGTAAAAACCGGAATATTTACATTTAACAAACATCCAAATGGTAATCACTGAATATACAACGGGCTGGGACATCTCCTTGTGCTAACACCTATACCCAAAAGTAGGAGACTATTTTACTACAAAGTCGGGTCGGCACTTTTAACATATTGAAAACATGCCTAATGTCCGATGCTTATGTGACTGTTTGCCCTTACCCTATAGATGGCCATTCGTCTATGGGAAGGGCGTCCTACATTAAGTTTACCGAAGGGCTAAACGACAAGACCTGCTGCTTAAGGAGAGTTCAGGTGCTTCTGAACAGCTTGGAGAAGATTTATCATCTCTCGACAGGTTCTTTGTTGATTATGTAAGATGTTTGTTTGTTTATTCGCGGTGTTGTCTTTTAACTTGATATAATGTTCAGTTAGACTAACATCTAGTCTCTGAAATGAACATATTTCACAGAAAAAAAACAGTTCCTAAATTATAATAATAAAATATTATGAAAAGCATCAGAGAGACTTTCTTCCAGAAACTATGGAAATCCAGACTTGCCACATGTTCTAGACTTGCACGGGTTTTCTTGGATATATTTGTTTCAGGGTCTGTATGACAGTCTCATGTTCAGTGTGCTTACAGTTTTCATTTTGATTGCTGAGTTTAATTTAAAAAAGGAGTAACGTCATGCAGATAGTAGTATTGCTGATATTGTTCTTAATGTAATACCATACTCCGTGCATGTAATACCATACCCCGTGCATGTAATACTATACTCCGTGCATGTAATACCATACTCCGTGCATGTAATACCATACTCCGTGCATGTAATACCATACTCCGTGCATGTAATACCATACTCCGTGCATGTAATACCATACTCCGTGCATGTAACACCATACTCCGTGCATGTAATACCATACTCCGTGCATGTAATACCATACTCCGTGCATGTAATACCATACTCCGTGCATGTAATACCATACTCCGTGCATGTAATACCATACTCCGTGCATGTAATACCATACTCCGTGCATGTAATACCATACCCCGTGCATGTAATACCATACTCCGTGCATGTAATACCATACCCCGTGCATGTAATACCATACTCCGTGCATGTAATACCATACCCCGTGCATGTAACACCATACCCCGTGCATGTAATACCATACCCCGTGCATACCCCGTGCATGTAATACCATACTCCGTGCATGTAATACCATACTCCGTGCATGTAATACCATACTCCGTGCATGTAATACCATACTCCGTGCATGTAATACCATACTCCGTGCATGTAATACCATACCCCGTGCATGTAATACCATACCCCGTGCATGTAACACCATACTCCGTGCATGTAATACCATACCCCGTGCATGTAATACCATACCCCGTGCATGTAATACCATACCCCGTGCATGTAACACCATACCCCGTACATGTAACACCATACCCCGTGCATGTAATACCATACTCCGTGCTCTAGTGGACTAAGCGTCTGCCAGGTGAGTGGAAGGTCGGTGGTTTGATCCCCAAGACGTTAAACCACGGTACTTATTGTTACCCTGCCTTGTGCTTGGCATAAAGAGGCTAACACAAGGATTGGTTGGCTCGGATCAGTATACTATGTCTGAGTTGGGTATACATGTTGAGTTGTGGTTTAATATATTACTTATGCTAGAATATATTCCAAATATTATAGAGTCATGGCGAATTTGGTTACAACCATTTAAGAACGTTCCAGAATGCCATATTATAGAATAACATTTAACACGTGGGTATTATATGGACATATTTCAATGTTTGTTCATATAATACATGTCCTATCTAAATGGACATATCTCAGTGCATATCCATATAATACATGTCACATCATATGGACATATCTAAATGCATACTCATATCATATATGCCCACGGGTGGGAAACACTTGTGAGATTCTAACACCCCCAAAGATCACTTATAAATCGCTATCACTGAGAACATCAATAGGTTAATGGATACCATACGAGTGACTGTTCAGGCAATGAGGGCACATTAGATTGAAGAACTGGCATATGGAGCCACTCAACATGTCCACTCAATCAACGAAATCAAAAAGACGGTAAGTACACATGTAGGCGTCAAAACACATTCCAGTTACACGTCCTCCACACCTCTCATGTCAAGATCCACGTTCCACTTGACCATCACTCAGACTGACCCCCCATCATGGGGAGGATGTGCCGAGATGACACATTAAAGTCTGGGGTTAATAACGCCAGGGCACCTATCATACTGGGGTCAAAACACAAAGGAAACTTGACACCTGGGAAGCGTGACACCTGGGAAACTTGACACCTGGGAAGCGTGACTGAGTGGAAAGTGTCTCAGGTAGGAGATGTTATCTGGAGACGTTAACCTGACAACAGTTGACAAGAGTCTGGGCCTTGTGATGGACAGTCAGTGTCCTTGCTTTGAGTGTCAGATGTATACAAGGGACACGCTTCTCAGTTGATGCGACAAGTTAACGTCGCCATGCTGAACAAATTTCATGGGCAAGAACGGAAAGAGGAGGAGGAAGAAGGAGGTGTATGAGGAGGAAGAAGGAGGTGTAGGATTGAGGGGAAGAGCAGAAGAAGAGGAGAGGAAGAGGAGACGAAGAGAAAAGAGGAGAAAAGAAAAGAAAGGCGTAGGAGGAAGAAGAGTAGGAGGTGAAGGAGAGGAAGAAGAGTAGGAGGTGAAGGAGGGGTAAGAAGAGAAGGAAGGAAGACTAGAAGACGTGTGAGTGAGTTTAGTTTTACGCCGCACTCAGCAATATTCCAGCCATATGGCGCTGTTCTGTAAATATGCGAATCTGGACTAGACAATCCAGTGATCAACAGCGTGAGCATCGATCTGCGCAATTAGGAACAGATGACATGTGTCAACCAAGTCAGCGAGCCTGACCACCCGATCCCGTTAGTCGCCTCTTACGACAAGCATGGGTTACTGAAGGTTCATTCCAGCCCGGACCTTCCCGGGTCAGTAGAAGAAAGAGGAAGTGGGCAGGAGGAGGTGGAGAAGACAAGAGAAGGAGATGGAAAGAAGAAGGAGGGAGAAGAAGACGAGAAGGAGGAGAAGAAGAAACCCTGAAAGGGTGTGTATGTATAAGGTCCTAAAGAAACTGTTATCAACAATACTCGTTGTCGGGACTGCCCATGCCATGGTACACAGGAATGTGTCTGTGTTTGTGTTGTACTAAATATTCTATTGCATGTATAAATGCATACGCTTTTGTTGAAGATTGTTTAAATGGACGCTTATTTGTCTTCAAGCATCACCAATAACATTTAACATTTTACAGAAAAATGGACAGATATGTTTTCTAGTTTTAAATTTGAATGTTATATACGTTTCAACATAAGTCTGATATACAATAAACATTGAACAGATTCGACCTTGTGTACATTTGCTACCGACCTTGCTGGTGCCAGAATTGGATGCTCAAGGTTTAATATTGTTACAAGGAGACTTTAGGAAATTCCAAAATCTGAAAGCATACATATGTATCGTACCTTAGACAATGTCGAAGATCTGTAACCATCATGTGTCCATCTTTATAAGACTTTTGTAAGCAATACATTCAAAGTAAATATTTAGTTCGACCTTGAGTACAAGTTACCACATTATATTGTATGGCAACCACAAATTATCGCGATTTAAAATCTGATATATTATCTATTTGTTTAAAATATGACTATTGTATGCACGTTATATATCTGGATCTCTGGCCTTCCACACAATAAACATTTGATTTGGCACGGATCTTCACGGGGATACCAGCGCTAAAGTTGACTGATTGATGATAACCCATAAATAACTGCGACAGAACCCTTTCAACATTCACATGAAGCCTCTGCCAAGAGTAAAGTCGATTGTACGATTTAGGCTATATCATGTCAACACTGAAATAGTGATGATTGATTCGGTGACCGGACAAAATCCACCCCAAAATTGCCACCCCGGAAAAAATCCACCTCTTCTTAACAAAAAAATGGACAAAATCCACCCTTCTCA